AATAATCCATCATTTGCTGGACCAAGGAAACACGGACTCCACTGAAAAGCTCTGGGTCAGCACCTAGTATGCTGGTGTTGCAAAAAAGTCACCCATGTTCTAGCAAGGTGTCACTGGACAAAATAGGGGCCGCCCTATGATCACACCGAGCACCAGGTTGGGTCGCTGCTAAACGAGCCTCCTTCTGCACCTCCACACCGCATCAAGGGATCACTGCGGGAGCAGCTTCTGCACGGGGAGAACGTTTCCCACTACAGAACGCTCCGGAGTAACTCGGCACAATGCCCAAATGTACAGAATGAAAGGAGTTCCAAATGGAAATATGCTATAAATTTTGCAAAGTTCCCTTTGAAGTCTGTCGATCGGATGGGCCTGATCACAACACTGAGGAAAGAAGCTGCAAGCCAAGGAGCGTGCACTTCGCACCGCTACTGCACACAATGAGGCTCTTTCTGTGCTCTTCTCTGAGGTAATTCCTTCTGTCTATTAATATACTTTCAGCCAGGAAGGTTGCATTAAGGCAATAAGCCTGGCTTTTATTTTATTTTTTTTAAACCTTTTTTTTTCAATTTTGTCATTTAGCCAAACGCTTAGATAGAAAAGCCTGCAAAAGTGTTCTTGATTGCTGAAATATTGCCCATGGAGTGTTTATTATTACTGCATTAAATGAAACAGAGTCCTCGGCGGTATTCGCTGCGTGTGTCATCGAGCTCCGGCCTTCCAGACACATTTAATCGACATTCATCTCACAGCTAATGAAATGAAAAGCTGAAAGTTGCTAAGTTTCACAGGTGATTAAACAATTTATACATAATTCAGAAATTAATCTAGGATAAGTCACATTCAAAGAACATCAGTAATGAAACGCAGACCGGAAAAAAAAAAAAAAAAAAAAAAAGGTTTAACTCCTAGCTAAAACGTGAAATCCATTGTTTTAAGCACGATTCGATAAAACAAAGAGCCAGCACTGGAAAATCCACGCTGTCAGTTTGTGCACAAGATGACCCGCAGCAGCAGCTTCCCCAAACGCCCCTTTAGACGTAGCTCAGCGCTGACTTGTCATGGTGGACGACAAGTTGACCATGAGGCAGCAGTGTGCCCTCGTGGCCAAGAAGGCCAATGGGATCCTGGGCTGCATTAAGAAGAGCATCTCTAGCAGGTCGAGGGAGGTGATCCTGCCCCTCTACTCAGCCCTGGTGAGGCCGCATCTGGAGTATTGTGTCCAGTTCTGGGCTCCACAGTACAAGAGGGATGTGGAGCTGCTGGAGAGAGTCCAGCGCAGGGCTACCAGGATGCTCAGGGGCCTGGAACATCTGCCCTATGGGGAGAGGCTGAGGGAGCTGGGCCTGTTCAGCCTAGGGAAGAGAAGGCTGAGAGGGGATCTAATCAGTGTCTATAAGTACCTCAAGGGAGGGAGTGCAGAGGACGGTGCTGGTCTCTTTTCAGTGGTGGCCACTGATCGGACTAGAGGAAATGGCCGGAAACTGAAACACCAAAAATTCCATAGGAACCTGAGGAAAAATTTCTTAACAGTGAGGGTGACAGAGCACTGGAACAGGCTGCCCAGAGAGGTTGTGGAGTCTCCTTCTCTGGAGATCTTCAAAACCCGCTTGGATGCAGTCCTGTGCCCCGTGCTCTAGGTGTCCCTGCGTATGCAGGGGGGTTGGACTAGATGATCTCTAGAGGTCCCTTCCAACCCTAAGCATTCTATGATTCTATGATTCTATGACCCGATGGGCCCAGCTCAAGTGCGAGCCCAGGCGGTGCTCGGCAAGCTCGCTCCGTGCGAGCCCGCAGCCCCGGCAGCCACGGGACACGGGCTCTATTAGTTTGGGCTCGCTTAGAATGTGCTAACTACATTCCCAAGACTTCCGACCAGCGAGGAGAATGGGAAGGCTTCGCTCATGTCTGCTGGCAAAACACCACGTGGACACACGCTAGCAGGAAAACGCTGAAATGGGTTTTTTTCTTCTTCTCCTGCACAGCTATACAATCCTCGGTCCCATAGAGAAATGGTCAAAATGGACACAAAATGAATGCCAGAAACTGTAGCTGCATATATGCAAGGGCTATTTTCCCACTCAGAATTACCACCAGTTTTTGCTTCAGCTGTTTGATTGAAGCAGCCCTGATCCCTTTCCACGCGTGTGGGATCTGAATTTATGCAGCACCAGACAAATGCTCTGAGGCTCAAATACTGATCCTGCTGAGAGCTAAGGACGTTTAGGTAATGCCAACAATCAGGACCAGAATTTCACACTTCATCATAGTTTACGTCTATGCTAAAGTCTATACTGTACAGTATGCAGCAGTATGGACGCATCTATATTAGCTGTAGAGAAGTGTGTCTACTAGCCAAGGTTGAGCTCTATACTATTAAAACTAGCCAGGGCAATGCAAGTAGTTTATACCTCCTTCAGTGCTAGCTTGGGGCTGCTTTCTGCTTGCAGAAATAGCCCAAAGTCCCATATTAATTCAGGTGTTTGTAACATCCTAAGTCGCTCTTCTTCCATTCCAAACCAAATCATTCTCATTTTACTTAGATGGAAAAACTCATGCATCTACACTGGTTTCCTTTCTACATAGCTATCCCACTACATATTTTTCCCCTCTAAGTAAAACATCACGTCCACAAATTTACTCCTTTATTCTACTGCACTGAAAGATAAGGTTGCAATTTCACAGGGAGCCCTCAAAGCTTTTATTCACTTGAAATTAAATGCCTAGCTCACATTTCTGCAGTTACTGAGAAATATAAGAAGAGGAAGTTGCAAATGAAGTAATTTTCTATGGAAAAGAAATAGCTTGGGGCCAAATTCTATCGTCCTCAGTGAACTTTCAGTGAAAGTTCTGCTTGCGTAAGGACCGCAGAATTTGGCCCCTGGTAATAACTAGGTTTCATAAAACGTAGATGTCATATTTGTGGTAAGAAAAGTAGTTTCCACGGTCAGGCTGTGTTCCCAGATTTCTTAGTTTTGCTTCGATAGCAAATATTCCTCAAGTCAGTTTTTCTTATTAGGCAAATGCATCAAGTTATTTTTGTTTGTTTGTTTGTTTTCCTTCAAACTGCACTTAATATTATGCATAAATAAGATTAGTAAAATTCTAAAAAAAAAATCTAAAATTCTGTCAGAAGAGCAAAATACTCAAGATGTCACCTAGCTGTTTTTGACAAGCCAGCTATGCACAGAATCTATAGAAAACTTCCATACACAGCCACACAAGAATCTAAATTCTCCTACAAACAGTAGAGACCTGCTTCCATAAAGAAACATATGTTTTTCTTTTAGTGACCTTGCACAAAAATTTCAAGCAATTAAAATTATATTCTGAATTATTGTTCATCATAATGATTATTTCTAGGTCAGATACCTCTTATCTGCAGCATTTCTCTAGTGCTGTATTAGTAGCGTTTTCAAATCCTAAAATACCACTTCTCAGAGAGGCTGGGAATAGCCAGTTTGAAGAACTGTGTTCTAGAGAGTGGGAGGAATGAAACCATCACCAAATGATTAATAACCTGAAAAGCTAAAGTTAACTCACTTAAATAGAAGGAAAAGATCAGACTGACTGCTCAGGGAAGATCAAATCTTTAAAACTTAAAAGCACCCATTAATATATTATTTACTATTATTCTGAACTGCTGGTATCTGCCTGCTGTGGTCTGTTTTTCTCAACAGGATGGTTTATTTTCTAGGTGACAGCTGTACATATACATTAAGCAGAGAGCCTCGCAAACGTCTACACGTCATTGCTGAAATGGAGATTAACCTGGGATAGTGTCAAAATAGTAATGCTGAGCTCAGGGAGAAAATTGCTTCCCACGGACGTCTCTCCAAAATTTAAGCTTTTTGCTTACATGTGCAAGTAAACATGTGTCTGGGGATGAAGAGAACTAGCAGACCTTCAGGGGCTGCTATGGAGAACGAGCTACAAG